ATACTTTGATATATATTGATGTAAATAGAAAGATTTTCCTTGTTTATATATGACAGTTTGAAAAGAAACAATTTCTTTTATTATAATTACCAAGTTACGTGTCGATAAGCTGCAATATAAATCTTTTTCATATAATTGCAGTTAAAAATGAAATTAATATTTATTGCTTATTGATTTATTGCTTATTTGCATATTTTAAGATGTCTGTTTTTTTCAAATTTTTCGAAAGTCGTGCCAATCACAATGTTTAATCATTCTTCATCAAAGGTGTAGGGATTGCAATTTATAATAAAATTAAAGTCAATATTTTGCCATAATTTTTGACAACTTAATTTATTGACAGATTGAAATGTGAATACAATTAAACAAACATAATGGTTAAGTAAAACTTCATGCGAAGGACCCGCAACTTTCACTTCAATTGCCGATCGCTTGGCAAAGGAACAGTTGCTATCGACTTAGGTAAGTCGCATCCGAATTTCGCACTCACTTCCTCCCGATCCCAGAATGAGCCCCTCGAGAGAGGTTTTGTTCGAAATTTCCACTTGTTTGTTTAAGAAGCTAAAGCCATGAAACATCGAACTGCGCCTTAACAAAAAATAAATGAAAATTTCAATATAGATAGTGATGACTTGTAGCTTTTCATAACTGTTTTCCTTTTTTAGAAATCTATAATACTTTTTCAAGAAGAGATTTGACAGTATGGCATTATTTTGAATGATATTTTCATTAGGAACGTCATTATTTGTAACGTAACGTCATAACATCGTATAACGTAAAAATCCTTTGAAATAGAACATTCTACAGTAACTGCTAACCTTTGTACACCGTTAAAAAAGTTTCAAATTCTGTTACTGGATACATATGATTGTCAAATCTTGTAAGAAAATATAAATACAAATTTAATTTATTTTCCAATACAAAGAGAAGTCCGGCGCAGCAATATTAATTTTTTAGCAAGAATCTTGGCTTATTATAGATAAATAGAATTATCAGAGTGGTTATGTTTTGTGTGTGTGACAAACACCGATTTCTTTCGCAATTTGAAATAGAAAGATATGTCTCGTAGATTTTGTGAAGTTTCAAAGAAAATAGGAGGGAGGGGGAGGGGGTTGTAAGTAACTGTTACAGATGAATTTGATTTCAAAGACAAGTATACATGTATATAGATTGTAGCACTAAATACGAGTTTTTCTAGTTAAATTATATCATAGTCGGGTAGATTATACTAATCTATTTTTTTTATTTGATTCAGATTTTATGAAGAGATCCAATCTGAACATAATACAGATTAAATCTGAACATAATAGTCAATGAACTAATACACATAAGTTCTTAATTAGTTTTCACCCCCCCCCCCTTTCAAGATTAAATATGAAGAATTTTGATTTAAATTTAACAATCACGGTTCATTATTTATTACATTGATTTATGAAAAAAATAACACAAACTTTTGTGTACAATATTTTTTTTATTGTTAGGCAATAAAAAAATTATTTAGACTCCCTCGTGTATATATCACACGTATTTAGATTTAGATTTTTCCTTTCAGGTATGTATCTTGTCCTTAAGGACAGATGATACAAACATTTTTTTTTGTTGAAAAAGATTTAATATCATGTCACAAGTTTAGAAAAGTGGATGGTTTTTAGAATGTTTTCTCCGAAGAACTGGAAAATGAAATAGACTTCGAAATATTAGTAATGTTTCAATAAAAAAACAAATATAGACATATCACATTCAGTACAGGTTTACAGGTGAAAACAGATTTCAGAATATGTAACCTTGGTGCTAAAAGTGTAATATCAACTTTAGAAAAATATACCAAGCCAGGTGAATTTTAAGAGGAAGATCAAAATGACAAAAAATAGCAATATCCTATAGGCTGATTTTTACCATTTAGTTTTTCTTAATAAAATTCACCTGGCTTGGTATATTTTTTTTTAGTTTATATTACTCTTTAAGCACCGTGGTAGCATATTCTGAAATTTGTTTTCACCTGTAAACCTTTACTGAATGTGATTTGTATATATTTGTTTTTTCAATGAAATATTACTAATATTTTCCAAGATTTTTTCATATACCAGTTCTTAGGGGAAAATATTCTAAGAACCATCCACTTTTCTAAACTTGTGACACGATATTAAATTTTTTTCAAATAAAAAATTTGTTTGTATCATCTGTCTTTAAAACAGAATTATACAATGCATTTATTTATTTTCAATTCGTATGTTCAATCATTTAGATATCGCTATCGTTTTTATGTTCGGGGGAAGGGGGGGGGGGGCTGACATAAGACATGCGTTTTAATATTAAAACATAATTATTGTTTACTGCTTTAAAAAAATGCGCCTATGTTTATTCTTTTATATATTGTTGAAAAAATTCAATTATTTTAATCAGCAAAGGGTTGTTGCCTGTCTTCAATATTACACTCATGTGTTTACATGTATGTATTTAAAATGATATTTAAAGAAAATTGCCATGCATTATCAGCATGGTTAGAATTCAACATTATAACCCGGGAATGGGATGAATTATACTTCGATTTCTTCCTCTAGTTTTCATTTGTTTTTTTTAATCGCCGTTTTTATGTCCCTTTATACTTCAAAATCACTACATTGCCACAATCGTTTTTTTAATGTTTGAAGCGAAACTTGAAACTTAATTTATTTTTTTAACATTTTCAATAATTGTTATCCCCAAGTAACACTTTCACATCACTTCCGCAGGGATTCTCTTCTTTTTATAGATAACTCAATCAGTTATCCAGTCTGTTAAATCTGTCAGATCATCACCCTAGACGTGAAAGAGAAAGTCGGTAGGCAAACCACTTGCTACTAAAAGTAAGTTAGGGTCTAAAATCCGTGTTCATTCAGTGTATGCAAATCGCGAGTCGGACACATTTTTATTTTAATCGGATAACCTTGGTATTTACCTTAAAGGACATTCAGATGTTACAGAATTTCGATCACATTTGACCATGCAGTTTTAAAAGTATTAATGACTGCAGCTGAGACGTACTATTTCTATATATGTTTACGTGTGCGGATAGATCATCCGGAGTTATTCAATTTCAGAGTTTTTAGATTACCAAAAGATTTTTCTTTTTTTTTAGTTCGGGAAAAAGAATCAGCTTCGTATTATTTATTTAAGGTATGCCCTCCCACTCCCCATTCTGCACAAACTTAAAATAAAATAAGCTCTTTTAAAAATGTTTAATATTGTAGTTTTCATGAAATAGTTCTTACACTTCATAAAAGGACATCGTCAGATATGTAAGCTGATCTTGTAAAATATAAAGTCCAAAGAAAAAGTTGTAAGACATTGTAAAATGCTTATAAAGAAGGGAAATCAAATTTCAAAGCTAGGGGGTAAGAGATGACAGAGTGAGAGAGAAACAAAGAGACAGAGAGAAGGTTTTAGAGTTTAGAGTGTTTTTTTTTTAAATAATGCTAGCTAACTACTGTAAATAAAACGGAGAACGCTTAATATTCATAAATGCAATATATTTCTTCATTTGAAATTTGAAGTGTGAAAAAAAACAACTATTTACTTTTTATGTATCCTATTATGCACAGAGTTGCACATATTTTAGATATCAACTTCGGATTAGGAATTTTTTTTATGTAAAAAAAAAGATTCGAAATAAGGTATTATACGTTCAACATCTAGTGCTAGCAACATATTGGAAACTCGACACAAATAAGTTCTCAACACTTTTTAAAATTATTTTGACAAACTTCAAAATCATTTTTGCTCAGATGCAGTAAACGTCATGAGTGTAAATTATGACGTCATCATTGATGTATGTAAGCATGATTGATTGATTGATTGTATACTGTTAAACGTCCCTCTCCATAATATTTCACTGATATGGAGACGTCACCATTGCTGGTGAAGGGCTGCAAAAGTTAGGCCTATGCTCGGCACTTACGGCCTTTGAGCAGGGAGGGATCTATTGCCACACCTGCTGTGACACGGGGCCTCGGATTATACGGTCTCATCCGAAGGACCGCCCCATTTAGTCGCCTTTTACGACAAGCATAGGGTACTGAGGACCTATTCTAGCCCGGATCCCCACGGGGCTGTGTGTAAGCATGAATGAAAAGAGCGTTACATGTATTTTATATTTTATATGAAATAACACATGTTAAATGTCAATTTAAGATATTCTTTCACAAAATTATTGACAAAATAGGGTTTATATAATTATCAAGAATAAATCTGATATACTAATAACTAATTAAGGGTATTTAGGCATATGAGAAACTTATAATAACTATTATAATGGAGGACCCTGCTTCAATTTCTGAAAGCTCATCTTTCATAAAATGTACATGTAAAATTGATATTGGCCACACGCGAGTACATGTACCTCTAAGAGATTTTGCATCAAGGTGCATATATGTCATATTTTTATGCATGCAAAGTTTGGAAAAGGTACTTGAGTGAGGCCACATACAAATTTCGAAATAACTGCCGTAAAATTCGGCGTTTTTGGGCAATTTTAAACGTCATAGGTGTACTTGATCCTGTGCATGTACTAAATACGGTAGCCTGTGTTCCATAAAATTATGTGTAGCGTACCATGATATTGTGCTCTACAAAATAACATATGATAGGCTTTATGATTTCATACTAAAATTTTGTCTTAACTAAAAGGCATATATTAATTGTTCGTGTCTGTAGCTCTTTAAATAGGACATAGAAATATAGATCATAGATGTACCTTTATGATGGGTGAAAGTTGTCAAAATATCACAAAAAAACTTGACAATTTAATTCTAATGCATGAAAACAATTTCTGTACATACAAAGCTTGAATTGAAACAGCAGATTAATTCTATAGCAAAATACAATTGTTCACATTGTTAATGACACTCGACAGTTACAAGGAAATTCGCGAACAAGCCCCCTTTATACATTATTTAAACTTAAATTATGTATTCAGTTTATGGGCTTCCGTATGCAGTAGAAAGATAAAATAAATTTGAAGTAAATAGACTGCCACTTGGTTGAGAGGAAAAGATCTACATGGACACATGAAGTACATATAGGAAGACTCAAGCACTGGTATGTTATTATTAATGTTTAAAATTGTTATCCATCTTTAATTATTACCCATGAAGTTGTTTTCCATGACCACTATTTCAGTAAGAATGTTAAGTTAATGGTATTGAGATTTAATCATTGGTCATTAAATTAATGAATTGTGCGGAATTTAGTCAACGCAAATGTTTCAATTAAGACAATGAAAAAAGTTTTGAGATGAAGGATATGGAGATAACGAACAGTATTCAATATCAAAGTCTATAAAACAATAAAAAATAGAAACAGAGAAGTAACGGACTTCCGAGACATCAGAGATGAGATCAGGTGCCATGGAAAAGTGAGCATATCCTGCTGACCAGCCACACCAGACGTGTGCTCCTTGTCATGATCGGGAAATAACGGAAAAGCCGTCGTCAATTCAGTGTATTATAAATAATGGACTTACAATTAGTATAAAAAATGTCAGTCAGCATTTGACTCTGTCAATGATAAATTGTATTTGCTTTCAAGGTCATTGTATCGACCATAGAATTAACGTAATAATGACTTTAAACGAGACTGTTGATAGTCTTCTTTCATCAACTTGCTTGGCAATAATTCACCTCGTTTTTGAAATTGCTCACACATAGGGCATGTTCTTGCGTATCGAATACACTCCGTATGGAGGTGATGAAGGTATATTGCTGCATAAGTGAGGGAAGTTAACGATAGAAAAGTTAAAGTCATCATGTTTATCATATAGCTTGGTTGTGAGATTACCATTAACGTGTTTTCAAGTAAAATAACCGAGAGTGAAACAGAGGTGTCAGACTACACTGTATCTTTTATCTCAAGCTCACCAGGATAAAACGTATATATGTAGGAATAGAAATAAGCATTGTTAATAAATTGACAATACGTCGCCGAAATATCTAAATGTCGGGTTGAAGGCCACAGCAAGTGTTTTCCTCTTTTCACGCATAAGAATTTGCACAATTTTTTCTTCATGTGAATATAAAAATAGGTCGAACATTTACTGGAACCCGCAATGTATCTTTGTTTGAAAGAATTTGCATGAAGTTTTGAAATCCAATAAACAGTAGCATATAGGTATTTCATTTTGGCTCTGTGGAATATTAAAAGATTTAAAACAGACATATGATTTTGATGAACATCTTCCTTAGAAATAGAAGTATGAGTATAATTAGGATTAACACTTGTAGAATTTAGACCAAGTTCTTCTAAAATACAACTTATCTAACCTTTATGAAAGCCCCGAAGGACGACGTTGATCTCTCAAAAAAGTTAAATCTTATTTTGGATTTCGAATTACACATCTGAACCTTACAATACGTTAGTTCGAAATTTTGATTCGTTTACAAAGATCACTAATTCTTTTTGTTGATTTTGTTATTTTCACATATGCAAAGGTTTTCACACAAAGATACAAAATGATACAAGAACAGAAGATTTGACCGTTTACTAAGAGAAAACATAAGTAATCAGAGATTACAGAGCTCACCTCAACGAATGTTGTCTTTAAGTAAGGCAAAGTCACACAATTAACCAAAAAAAAGTGTACATTCCAAAATGAAAATATTTAAACAATTTTGATCTGATACTCTGAAACAGACCTACATAAAAAATTTAGACTAGTTCTTCTTCGTGAAAATGTAATCAAAATCCAGCATCTGAAGCAAATTTGAGAGTTTTCATCTCTTGATGCAACATTTGTGCAAGTTTGGTTTATACAATGTTATATAAGCCTTATAGTTTTTGGTAATAGACCTGCAACCATAACTTTTACCTGGTCTATTATCTGAAAAATGTATGTCGAATTCAGAATCCAAAGCAAGTCCATAAGTGTGCATCCTAAGATGTATCGTCCATGCAAGATTGCTATAATAAGGATCATAGTTTATTGGAAATGAAACATGCATCAAAAACTAACATTTTCACTCATCCACAAAAAGTAGGTCATATTCAGCATCCGAAGCAAGCCCAGTAGTATGCATCCTTAGATGTATCATCTATACAAGATTGGTCATTAAAGAACTCGTAGTTCCTTGGAAATGAAACCTGCACCAAAAACTTAAACCTGTTCGCTCAACCTGAAAATGTAGGTCAGATTCAGCATCCGAAGCAAGCCTGGTAGTATGCATCCTTAGATGTATCATCCATGCAAGTTTGGTCAACATAGGGCTTAAAGTTACTTGCAAATGAAACCTGCACCCAAAAAATTAACCTGTTCACTCAACCAAAAATGTAGGTCAGATTCAGCATCCGAAGCAAGCCCGGTAGTATGCATCCTTAGATATATCATCCATGTAAGTTTGGTCAACATAGGGATTATTGTTACTTCGAAATGAAACCTACACCAAAAACTGCACCAAAAATGTTAACCTGCTCCAAAAACATTAACCTGGTCATTCCTTTTCTGAAATTGCTGCATCTGAAACTTTGACTGGTACAATGAAACACACTAGAACCATCTTCCATGCATGTCTAATCAATATAGGACATAGAAGTACTTAAAAAGAAAACTGCTCCAAAAAACTTAACCTTCACCTGGTACGCCGACGCCGACGCCGACACCGACGCCGACTCCGAGGGTATTACATAAGCTCCCACAACTTCGTTGAGGTGAGCTAAAAAACACTATTTACTGATTTTTAGCTCATATCTGTACTTAGATTATAAACTTTTAAAAGCTAACAAACTCTAATTTATTTGAAAAAGAATATTTATTTGATAGATTTTTTTAACATTAGTCTCTAATTATTTATTTAACTTAAACTTGAAAATTCCTTCAAGTCTTTGATTGTGTAAAAATTATAACTAAATTCATTATTCAATAATAACTATGAGCTGTAGAAAAGAAGATATTTTCATACGCCACCATTCCACGAAAAAAATGGTCCATGCTAGTTTTCAAACGCTGTTAACCATTTCTATTTAAATTTGTACGATTGTGATGAGGAAAGAAAAATATGGTCTTTAAAATCTCTTTCACTTAAGAATATGAGCCATATAAGCAAATGTAATTTGAACATATCTAGTTAGAAACCAGAGAAGAATCCTACCTTACTGGACGTTTGAGCCTTAATACTGTTCACAATTAAATGACAAAATCAATCAATATTTTGGAGTCTAGAAATTATAGATTAGTCTCGCATGACTAACTGTATTTTCATGTTTGAAAGCCGGAGTGTTACATGTACCAAGAGACGTAATCATCGCTGATGTACCTAAATCAAAATCTACAGGCACGCATATTCTAGGCGTACTATATATCAAGCTGACGGGGTTTCTCTTGTCAAAGGAGCTCATTCAATGTATGACCAACAATGCACACTTATTTACGATGTGATAATTGTTGAATTGAACTTTTTTTTTTTGTAAAAAAAATGACGTCTTCCCCACACAGGCTACATTGTTATGGCGCCATTTTGAAATGCTCTGTCATTATGTGGTAAAAGGAGTTAAAACGAATTTTTTTTTAAATTGTAATCTAATCATATAATATTTTTTTTCAAGCAGGCTGTGTCACCGCTGTATTTCACTGAGTTTGTCTCATGACACTTTGTTAATGTATACAGTTTATCACATCCACCACGAAAGGTGTTAATTGCTTTGAAGTAACTCAGGCGTGGCCGGACTAGAGGAAATAATGAACGTTAATTATGAGCAGCTGGGACCAGTATGGCCGTTTGGAATACAGAATAGACAGTTTCCGGACTACACAGAATATTGTCTAATGAAATTTGTTAAAGAAGTGCATGGGACTAAAACTTATAGACGGAATGGACAAAAATCCGGAGTACTCAGAGTCCGAATTAGAAAGATTTTACTGTATATCCAATAAATAGTTCCATTTAAGTCCCACTCCTTTCCGTAGATAACGAGAAAAATCCTAGAAATAGGAACAGCCTTTTGTTGTAACGACCTGAAAAAAAATGTAGGGAAATATTCAAGCCAGGAACATCAATGTACGAGGGTTGTCCAAAATGTTCGTGGACAATGACGTTTTAGTAAAAACAATAGGTTCTTTATGCATCTATTGTATATCAAACTATTTACCATGAAAAAATAAGTCAGAATGTTTTAATTCTTATTGATGAAACTTAATATTTTTTTGTAAAAATCGGGGTCTTTAAAGGTCACAGATTGTGCATACGGACCAGTCTGACGTTACGCTAATTTCATTATAACGTGAAACATTTGGATTTTGACTTAACACATGTTTATGGACACACACACTATTTCTATTTATGGCGCAACGCACTTCGAAGTGCTAACAATAATCTTTAAGTATAAATTATAATTTATTTAATTTTTAAAATTCAAAACAATGCACACACATTTACGAGCGTGATCAAAATTAACAGTAAATGTATACTCAAACTGAACAGCCCAGTCCGACGCTGCGCTAGATTTATAACAACGTCATGAATAGAAATCTCCATGTACAGTTAATTACATGTGTTTTTAAATTCCTGTAGTGTCTTAAAATTTGTATACACTGTCGAAAAATCGTATATACGAATCCCAAATCGATACAATTAATATATTTCAATAATTTTGAGTTGTTTTAATAAATATTTTGTCGCTTACATCATTTCAACCGTTATAAAACTTAATTTTTTGACCGGGCGCTGCCCCATGCCGACGGACGACGTCACTTTTTCTGTTGAGATTTGACACGTACTTGTTAAGGTTTTCTTTGTGTATTTTTTTTTGTCTTATAGTAAGCGATATTTAAGATATCATGAAATGATAATAACCTCATAATTTGTGTTACATAAAATTTATATTAATTTTTGAATTGTTTTATATAGAAAATAATCATTTTAATCCGAACTCTTTATATCAGAGTTTACATCATTTTAACCTTGGTCCGTGCGCACCATCTGCGACCCCTGAAGACCCCGACTTTTACAAAAATATTACTTTCCATCAATAAAAAGTAAATCATTCTGACTTGTTTTTTCATAAGAAATATTTTGATATACAACAGATTTATATAGAACCATTTATTTTCACAAAAACGCCATTGTCCACGAAGTTTTTGGACAACCCTCGTACATATCATGGGACTTTTTACAATCCACTTCAAAATTGACTAAATATACACGTTGTCTCCTTTGATTCACTTTTGCCCTACGTCAGTTGACAATGAGATCTTTACCACATTCGATCGAACATAATTTTACTCTGTTAATTTGAAATCTTTAAATGGTCAATTTGAAGAAGATAGCAATGTTATACTTAAATTCTACAATTGCAGAGTACATGCCAATGTTTGTGAGTATGGTTGTCACCCATCATAAGCTCTTTACGACAGTTCAAGAGTCGGAAAGCCGTAAATAGCTGATTCATCTAACCAGTAAGCTTTCGTAATATTCTTAATTAGAATAAAACATCATTATTGCATACAATGTATTTCGAGTCTTTTTTTTTTACTTTGAGTTTCCTATTAATCTATTCAAACTGTTGCTTCGAAACTTTTAAATTATAAATAAATCTTTATACTGTGTCTAGACATTGAACATTCTGAAAAAAAAATCCTCTTAGGTATTCTTACACTCTCTAATTTTAGAGCTTCAATCCCATTGGGCAGCTCATTACCTGTTATGTTAATATAGTTGATAATGAAGACCTAAGAGATGAAATTTCCGTGTATCTGTGTTTTATCCTCTCTATACAGATAAAAATTGTGTATTTTTTAAAGATAAATTACAATCGCTATCTTCATCCTTTTTCATTCATTAATCTTAAATGCATCAAGAGGCATATAACTGACTTTATTTATCCAATAATCAAAGTTAATTTCTTCAATATCATAATCCAATATGTATTTGCGTGTTAAAAATCACCTTACTCCATACATTATATTTTTTTCATAGAAAAATGGAGAGAAACGCAACAATTGGAAGCTTTTTTCCTTTAAGTACGAAGTACAACAGCAGTTTCTTGGAGGATAATACAACGTACAACACTTCGAGAGACAATTATATTCCTGCACATTCCTTACTAAATTTATGTATTGCTACGGTACTACTCATAATTGGATTGACTGGAAACAGTTTTACAATCATTTTTGTTTTTGTGAGAAGGAATTTACATACGCCAACATACACAGCCATAGCTTGTCTTGGAATTGCTGACCTCCTAGCATCCTGTTCCCGATTTGTTTTTCATTTGGACAATCATTTTTACTTTTTTAATTACACGGAAGCTTCATTATACGGAATCATTACTGCGTTTTTTCTAAATGCAGCAAATTTTCACGTAGTTTTGTTTGCATATTTGCGGTGTGCATTAATTTCGTCCCCACTTCAAAGTACTGGAATAACGTATCGAAAGGTTTTGAAAATTTCCATCGTTATTTGGGTGCTAAGTTGTGTTGTGGCGTCAGCCTACGGTACAGTAATGATATTTGAAATCAATGGTATAGTTTCTATTGACGACAGTGCGTTCACTGAGATTTTTTTTTGGTCTTATATTTATTTTTTGCCATTTCTCCTAATAATTTACTTTCATGTTACAAAAATTAGAAAGATGAGGCAACATAAATCTGAAATGACAAGAAGGCAATGCTATGCCCATATGTCTGAGTCAATGTCATTTATGTTTATTATTATCATAACCATTTTTGTCATCAGTTCAACTCCATCAGTTGTACATGTTATCATATTTTATATATGCAGAAAAGAAAATTCTACATCAGTTTTTTGCATTCGCTATCCTTTTGCATTAGGCCATTCAATTTCCTATCTTTGCATCATGTTAAATAACTGCATAAATCCAATAATTTATTTCATGTTTTCCCATCCTGTTCGAAAGTTTTTTAACAGATATTAGTCGATTCGGAGATAATTCATAATCAGGTAAGACAAACAGCAGCTATTCAGACGCGTTTTGGTATGCATGTATACATTTCACTGTATTTTATTGGAGATAAGAACAGCATGATTGATACTGATGCAGAATAGTACTAAGATCAAATTTAAACCTTTTTTGTCGATTTTCTAACTATGCAGTTATATATAAAAAAAAACATTAATATATCAATCAACGTACAGGCGAACCTATAAATGTACAAGTGTCACATTTCTTTTGGAAAATTCAACACCACGAACTCTGAAGAGGATATAATACTCTATGGTCAAAATTACAGAAACACAGTAGGTGTAATAAATAGAAAGTAATTACCTGAGTTACTCTAACAATTTAAAACTTACTGACTTTTTTCTTTCAAAATAGATTATGCTTTTACTAGGAAATAATACTTTTGATTAAAGCTTCCTATGATTTTGAGCATTACATTGCTAAAAACTCTAAGGAACCAAAACAGAGATTAACCAAACACCCAAAGAAAGTAAATCCTTGTTTTCATATAATTTGCAACACTGTCTATAAACAGATAAGCAACGTGTTTTATTTCTACTATTAAACTGATAAAAAATGGATGAATCACGCTTTCAGAAAAATATTCATTTAAGAAGGCAGGCGGGTTCAAATCCAATTTTGGGACGTTGAGACCGATCCTTCGGATGAGACTGTATAAATCGAGGTCCCGTGTCAGCGTTGGTGCTGGCACGAAAAAGATCCCCAACTGCTCAATTGCCCTCAGTGCCGAGTATAGGACAAAATTGCAGCGCTCCGGCCGCTAGCTGCGTTGTCTCCATATGAGTGAAAAATTCTAGAGATGAACATTAAACAATATGCAATCCATCAATGAAGCAGAAATGGTAGAAAATGATTTAAAATGGTTTAATGGAAATCATCTGCTATCGAAGGAAATATCACCAGAAAATTCATGCGTTTTGCCTCTTAGGGATGCAATTGTTTGTGTAGTGAGTGAAAGTAATATATTATATGCGTGCAGAGAGGTTGGAATTATTGTCATTTAGAAGAGAAATTTATTTATGGGTAGTTTATCAAATGAACATTGTTGAAAAAACAGGCATCCATTCAAAGAACTTATATGTAGGCAATCGATTTATTTATAAACATACATTAAATGCAGCTTGTGCACATTCTTAAGCAGAAGTATACTGTGTTATCTTGAAAAAAGGACATGGTTTAATCGTTTTCCTTTGTTATTGGTTTCCAAATATTCTTTGTACAGACCTGTGTGCGATTTTGTACATAGCATATGCTTTAACTCGTATGCTACTTTTGATATTTCGATATATATTAATGTAAATAGAATTTCCTTGCTTAAATGTGACAGTTAGAAAAGAAAAAAAACCTTTAATATAAATATTACGTTAGGTGTTCATGATCAGTACTATTCTTTTTTTTTTCTTTTATATTGTATTAAAAATTTCAAATTAAACTTTTTGTAACGTTAATCGCGTTCTCTGTCTTGCTTTAATCTTTTCATTACCATCTGTTCCTGAAATTTTTTATTAAGAAATGAAATTAGTTAATCAGTATTTATCTAAGATTATATAAGTAGATGTAAACAAGGGAAAATAAAATAAAATGTATCAATATGAAGGACAATAAAAACAGATAAACAATGTAGACCAACGGAAAGCACTGTTTCATCATGAAAGAATTAGCTGAATAGAAACAGCGAAAATAAATAAATTCTCGAAAAAAGTCAGTATGTCATTTTATTCACATGTGATAAAATGTTTAGGCGGTGAGTACTTATAAAACTCTAGAGGCTACAAGGATTAAGAGACCACTGACATTTAAAGAAAACAAAGTCTAGTATTCACATGATTTGCCTTCTTGTATTCATCTTATTCATTGTATATATCAATCCAAAATAAATTTAATTTTTGGTGTATTAGAATAAAAATAATAATATGGTTTATGTTTGGCTAATTTTTTACTTGAATGATTAAAGGTAATTACTGCTTAGTACAATGCATCAAAATTAGTTTTTGAGATTTTTTTTTACTCGTTTGAAAAAAAAAATTATTTGCGATGATTCGATTCATTGATAAATGAGTGCATACTTGTTTTAAATTATTAAAAATTCGATGAGTACATAAATTTCTGGAACTCTCCATGTCATCAGTGAATCTTGTGCCCCAGGTTCTAGATGTGACCGTGCCCAGTACAGGAACATCTACCACACAGGATGAGGACCTCTGAAAAGTGTTACCATACAAATTGGCAATATACGAGGGTTGTTCGAAAAGTTCGTGGACGATGTCAATCTTCGTTATATTATTCTCTAGAAATTTAAAATAAGCATATAATAATGTGTAAAAATATTTGTTTTGCTGATGTGTGAAGTCTTATTCCATTCGATTTAACAGAAATAAATTTACTTCATTTTAAAATCAACATGTTTTTACCCGCGGAGCACCCTTAACGGCCATGTAACGTCAAAACATAGCGTCAAGATTTTCTAAAAAATACTTTTCCTATACATTCACACAGTTTAATCGAATGCCCACTCATTAAATTCTTTTTTTAATACCTGACATTTATTTTTTTAAGAATTGCTCTCGTTATATAATTTCCTTTGTTAAGGTTTTAATTTCTTTTATTACTTAACTTTGCTTTCACAGGATACGAAACTCTGAAGCGCCTATGTTTTTCCTTGACGTTCCAACTCTTTAAAGTTTTTGTTAAGATTTTTACAGTTAAACCGTAGCTTCACAGATTTTCCTAGTCCGATCAGGGTCTCTGTCACTCAAATACTGCCTGTACTATTTGTACATGCATGCACAACTAAATAAGACATATTTTCTTGAATCCTCAAACATTTCAAGATTTTTTTTTAGGGTTTTTCCTGAGTAAAACATAAATTTGCACCGTTATCTGCTGTTCTGTGACGTTCTAAAACGTCATCGTTTTTGTCGTTTTCAATAAGGACCACCTTTCTTCTCAAGTTGATTTCTTTTCAACAATGCAACATATAAAGCCATAATTTGGTATACTAATCGATGTAACAATTCTTAATTTGAATTTCTAGGTTGTTTTTTCGTTTTTGCTCCATTTACAGAAATATGCTTACAGGTATTATATAGTGTATTGTCTGTAACTTACTAAATTTTGACTTGCTCCGCGATCCGATTTTTTCAGTTTTAAAATAGGGATAAGTTTTGAATAAATCGTAATATTTTGGAAAAATTTGATACAAATCGTTTAGATTTATTGTAAAAATATTTCTACCAAATTTGGAGAACGTATGACGTCAATTAAAGAAGATATGACAGTTGTCCACGAACTTTTCGAACAACCCTCGTAATGTGAATTGTATTGCAGTTCGTCATGCTATTCTATTGAAAAAATTATTTAAATCTCTAGAGAGGTATAAGAATGTCCTTCTCTATGCAGACTACCATGTCCAACTGCGCACGGACTCAACATTATTTTAAAGGTCCAGTGATTTGAGGCATAAAAGGGATTGAACGGGTTGGGACCAATCGCCCAAATGGGATAAAATAGTCCGTTTGGGATATAATATCCCAAATGGGCTATAAATTTACAGTGCAAAAATTGGATTTTTTTTATGGCAATAAATATCATAAATCCGCATCAAAACACTTAAAAAGGAATAACTTTTGGTTAGCAAGATTTTCTGCAACCCTAAGATTTGTAAGATTGATCCCCAAGAAGTTAAGGAACTTCCGAGGGATCAATCTCCTAAGCAATGGGCATACAGAAAAACTTGTCAACCAAAAGTTATTCCTTTTTAAGTGCCCTGATGCGGATTTATGATTCTTATAGCCAAAATAAAAAAAAATTCAATTTTTGCACTGTAAATTTATAGCCCATTTGGGATATTATATCCCAAATTTCACAAGACGAAAATCAATTTGTTCTTAAAATTATCTTTATCCATAAACACAAAATATGTATTTTTTTTTCTTCTTTTTTTAAAGAGATGGTATTTTTATTTCATGTGTTAAAACAACATATTCCGCTACATAATTCCAAGGAATAAAAAGTCATATTCTCATGAGAAAACAAATCTGTCTTTTTTTTGGAGGGGGGCAGGCTGGGGCCACAGGTATAAAAAAATGTTTAGTTTTCAAAGTTTGACTTTTACATCATGAATAATTTGAATTAATTCGTTATTTTTTTCTTATATAATGCAGCAGTAAATATATGTCAAAATCTAGTCAGTCTTCAATCATTGTTATTTCAAAATCGATTTTCAGAGGAACAGCCGATCAGATTAAACATGGCATCCGACCAGATTTATACGCATTGGGAAACGGGGTAAGATTAACAGTGTACAGTACTGACTGGTTAAACAATAGACCTTAATTAGGTGTCCACCGTCTTCGGTCAACTAACAGGAAACTTTAATGTACATACACAACGTACACTAACAGATTTTGATGATCAATTACTTTTGCAAAATTTAAATTCAACGCAAGCATATAACAAATTAAAAATTATGATTCACTGTAAAAAGACAATTATTTTGATACCCATTATGATACAAAAAGAATTTAAACTGAATATGATATTCGAAAAAAAAAAGTTTTTGTAAACATAACCATGCAGGTAACTCGTAAACAAAGAATGTCACTAGGCCTAAATCTTAGACACAAAAACCGTTAATATCCGCAGAATATTTAATTCAAAAAAAAATTCATCTGTGTTTCCCGATGATAGTTTTTTTGTGTTTTATCTATAATTAATTTAATTTCAATCATGATTTAATGCTTACACGTATAAAAATCTTCGAAAAACAGAGCGAAGAATTCATTACAATTTAAAAGCCGAACTCAACGGTTTAGAAATATATTAACGTGATATAAGCCTTTTAGAATTCCAGAAATAAAAATGTTTATAGGTTGATTAATAAATCAATTCAAAACTTTCAACAAAATAAATAAATGCAAGTCCAAAACAATCTTTGTTCAAAATAAATGTTTAATATTTTCATTTGCATATCAAGAGCGGCAATAGCCCAATGGTTAAGGTGACTGCCATCTAAGAGAAAAAAAAGGTGACTGCCATCTACTCAAAGGGTCAATAGTTCGCGCCCTATGGGTGTTTTTTTTTAACTTTGGATTCCGTTCTTTTCCTTATTTTTACCAAATCAAGATATGTGTGAACTCGACATTTATAATTTGTGATGACAAATCACTATAATATTAATAATTTTTCACGCACAAAACAGTAATATCGACTGCGTAATGGTGGCTTAATGGTAGCTTAATGGAGTTTGGACATTAAGCACCTGTAAGTCTAGCTTAATGGTGGCTTAATGGTGACTTAATGGTGGTCTAAAAGTTACCATTAAGGACCTGTCAGCCACCATTAAGCTACATTTAAGCACCCATTAAGGACTTTGAGATGGCTTAATGGAAACTTAATGGTGGTGTAAATGTTACTTAAAGGCGCTTAATGGTGACTTAATGGTGACTTAAAGGCAACCATTAAACCACCATTAAGGACCTATAAGCCACCATCAAACCAAGCTTAAAGGGTGTGTTTCGTCGTATGAAACGGACTATTATCTTCCATTTTGGCGATTGGTCCCAACCTGTTTAATATGTACATAGAGAAAAACAGAGAATCACCACAGGGAAAAAGAATTTTCTTGCGTGTTCGAATATTGACCATTCATATAGAATTAAATTTCAATGTGACAGTGCCTCGCGTTTTCCAAAAGTACGCAGTACTTTCAAACACCCAAAATCCCAAAACGTAAGACACAAACTCTGACACATCTCTGAAAAAGCACACTTTACAAACAATTATAAACAATTATAAACCTTTCAGGTAATCCGCCTCTACATTCTCTTATTCCTTGATTAGATTCTAAATCAGTATGAATGCCCAATCTAGGATTGGTCTTTGACTGGTTTAGGTACACGAGAAGAGTATTATCTGTCTCTTAAGCACAATACTTTTGAAATGTCTGAATGGCCCAAACAATAGCCAAACGTTCTTTCTTTACTGTTGTGTACGCACTTTCCCATTCTTTCCACTTCCTGTTCGTGTATGTTACATGTACTAGTACCTTTTGATCTACTCTCTGTAACAACAACTCAACAGTCTGATGTATAAACTACTTCTTTATGTTTGGTTATTTCAAAATGGGAGATTGACTTAAGAACGTATTCAAAGACTGAAATACAACTCATGACATTGTTCCTACATAAGATTGATTCACAGTGAAAAGCGGAGACGCACCACCGAGAATAAGATTACTTACATGTGTTTGAATATACGAGGGTTGTCCGGAAAAATCCTGGACAAAGCGTTTTTCTCGAAAAGTAACGGGCGTACCGAGCTGAAATTTTCAGTAAATATTTATTTAATATCATATTTAAGTGAATCGTTATTTTTTGG